ATAAAAAAGAATTAAGTGTGATTTTCGGGTTTAGTGGGTCAAAATACATGGGAAAATTAGAATTGGATATGGTGGGCAGAATTTTTTTTCGATTTTGAAAACTGGTGTAATGTAAGCCGCATCATATATATATTAGGGGTCATTCATTAATTACGTGAGGTGTTTAGGGGGGGGAGGGGGTCGAGCCAAACCTCACCCAATCTCACATGGGGGGAGGGTGGTCTGGGCAAATATCACGTAATTTTTTTTTTCGAAAGAAACAATGTAAAATTGCGAGAAAACGAGGGTTAAATTAAGTAAAAAATTATAAGCAAATTTTTTTTTTAATAAATCTAATGGAATCAAGCACGGATTAACTTTAAAACTTATAAGTATACTTATTAAAACTATACATTTAAAAAAATCTCACGCGAGATTAAGGGAGGGGGAGGGGGTCGAGCAAAATCTCACGATATCTCACCAAGGGGAGGGGGGGGTCAAAAAATCGACAAAATTGCCTCACGTAATTAATGAACGCCCCCTTAGGGTGTCCCGAAAAAAAAGAATATTTTTTTTCTTCTCGTCTCTTGTGAAAATATGTTGGTTTGTCATGTTTTAAGAGCCCTGTCAAAAGATCAGCACTATTAAAAAATTTTTAGGGGTCGCTCAAGATTTTTAAAAATTACCAAAATCGTCAAAAATTGGATTTTTTTTTATTTTAATTTTTTTTCTCTTTCCGATATTATTTTTTAATTTAAAAATAATAATGATTCTGAAAATTTCAAATCGATATTTTAATTTCTAAAGGTCGCTCAAGATTTTTTCAACTTTCAAAGTAGAGTATTTTGAATGTTTTCGAGCGACCTCTGAATATAAATATCCACGAACTTTTAGCGACCTTTAGAAATCAAAATATTGATTTGAAATTTACAGAATTTTTATTATTTTCAACCTAAAAAATAATATCGAGACGAGAAAAAGAATTAAAATAAAACAAAAATTCAATTTTTGACCATTTTGAAAATTTTTAAAAATCTTGAGCGACCCCTACAAAATTTTTAATCAAGCTGATATTTTGAAAGGGCTCTCACAGCCTGATAAACTAACATATTTTTACAAGAGACAAGAAAAAAAAATATATTCTTTTTTTTTGGGACACCCTAATATATATATATATATATATATATATACAGGGTGTTTCTTTTAACTTGAGGCAGCTTAATATCTCGAGAAATACGCATTTCACGGAAAAATGTCTTAAATAAAAGGTTAATGTGACCAAAGGGGACATTATTTGGTGCTACCGCTAGCCACCACCTACCCCTCCTTAAGGGTGAAACGGGGGGTAACTTTGGAAATTCAAATGGAATGACCCGATTTTTTTCACAGAGTTTGGTAGTACTTAAAAAAATGAATAACTTTTATTTGAAAGATTTTTTCAATTTATCAACAGATGGCGCTGTAATTCAAAATTTAAAAAAAGGGGTTTCCTTGTAAAATGTATTATTTGAAACGTTTGAAAAACAAAAATTAACATTAAATCAACAATAGTCGGCTCTGAAAACAATTTATAACAAATGTTCGAAATGTCGTCCTTCCATTTCGACACCAAGTGGAGCACCAGCGTCCCTGGTCGGTAAACGTTTGGTGCGGTACCTTAAGCGAACGATTAATCGGACCCTCCTTTATTGGTGCATTAAATGGCGAAAAGTACCGAAATTTTCTAGAAAACGATCTGACGGACCTTTTGGAGGATGTACCACTAGCACGGCTCCAAAACATGTGGTACCAGCAAGATGGTTGTCCTGCACATTATTCGACAATTGCTCGAGAGGTGTTGGATCGGGAGTTCAATATCCGGTGCACCGCGGTGGATCGGTAGACGTGGTCCAGTAATTTGGCCTATTCGATTACCTGATCTTACGCCACCAGACTTCTTCCAGTGGGGTTACTTGAAAGAAAAAGTTTACGCTGCAATTCCTACAACTTGGGAGAACATGGTGGAGCGGATCAGGAACGCCTGTGCGGCGATACCGCCCGACATGTTGGCGCGTTGTGTGCCAGAATTCATTACCCGCATTCAAAAATGTGTTGAAATGGAATGACGACATTTCGAACATTTGTTATAAATTGTTTTCATAGCCGACTATTGTTGTTAATGTTAATTTTTGTTTTTCAAACGTTTCAAATAATACATTTTACAAAGAAACTCATTTTTCTTAAATTTTGAATTACAGTGCCATCTGTTGATAAATTGAAAAAAGTTTTAAATAAAAGTTATTTTTTTTTATGTACTACCAAACTCTGTGAAAAAAATCGGGTCATTCCATTTGATTTTCCAAAGTTACCCCCCGTTTCACCCTTAAGGAGGGGTAGGGGGTGGCTAGCGGTAGCACCAAATAATGTCCCCTTTAGTCACATTAACCTTTTATTTAAGACATTTTTCCGTGAAATGCGTATTTCTCGAGATATTGAGCTGTCTCAAGTTAAAAGAAACACCCTGTATATATATTTAATTTCAATTTTTAACACAGCCCCTTCTTTAAAAATGCATTTTTGTTAGGTTGTTTTACTACTGGTGTTAAAAGTAAAATGTAATTTTTTTTAATAAATTTTATTTAATCAAAAGTAACGAACGAATCTTCAGATCATTTAGAAATATTAATAGATTGTCAAAGCAATAAGTATTAATAATTTTAACGCCCTCAGACGACACACTTGCAGTTTTAATTTATGTTTCTACTCATATTGCATATTATTGACATTATTTGTTTTTTTTTCGTAAATAATGGTAACCAATATAACTGCCCTGCCTAACAACGTGAATAATGAACTCAATATTCACGTTGTTAGGCAGCAGTGATTGGCTAGCCAATCACTGATTTCAGCTGATTTCAATATTCACTGTTATTTAAACCAATCGGGAAAAAAGTAAGATTAACAATGTCAGATTTTTTATATATACGAGGGGCGACTATAATGATCTTTAAAATCGGGAGAAAGTGAGGTTAAAATACATTTTGTTATTAAAGAAAATAACTTAAACTTAAAACAATAAAATTAACCTATAATAGTTATTTACGAATCAAGCTTTGTAAATGAATCTTTACGGGCGAGCAAAATAAATTATTGGAAGTCTGTGGAGTGAGCGAACCCCATAATCCAGTGAGCCTAGTAAAGATTAATTGCAAAGCGTGACACGTACAACTTTTATTTTCACCTTTAGAGAACGATTTTCAAATATAAAATTTTAATTAATATGTATCGTTAATTGTTATTAATGTATCGTTTACTTGGATACAAAAACAAAAAAATTAACCTATAAATGTCATTTACTAAGAAGGTGGAAATCGCCATATGAAGGTGAAAATAAAAGTTTGTACGTGTCACAGTTTGCCATTAATCTTTACTAGGCTCACTGAATTCCAGCTCGCCAGTAAATATTAATTTACAAAGCTTGACTTTTATCTGTTTCAATTTTTTGTTATTACCATATTTTCAATAGAAATATGTATGTATCATTTACATATCTTAGGTTGTATTTTATCAACTTTCAAAATACGAGTAGGTACCTATTTTAAAACCGCCCCTGCAAGCTCGCAACTAGCAATCAGGGCTGGATGCTCCCGTGGCCGAGTTTTGGTTCGTGCCGCGCATGACGTCACTTGATGAGCAGTTGCCGTGTGAATACACAAATAATAGTAATATTATCAAAGAAAATAGAGAAATATCTGGACTGTGCGTTTTTATTAAACTTAATATTAAAGAAAGTGTTATAATATGGATAATAGATTCTTTCGGTCCTTGATAACATTTAGGACTGTAGTTTAAGAGTTGGTGTTTTAAATTAAACTTAAGAAACTCCAGAAAATGTTTAGAGGAAACAGAAGCGGTCTTAACGTTATTATAGTCTATTCTTTTTATGGCATTTAACCACTGTTACAAATCAAAGTTTTTCGGGAATCTATTAAATTTAATGTTTTTATTTAAAGGGTTTTTCTTGGACTGGTTGTCCGAATTGCATCCAAATATGCCACACCGCATTTTAATAAATGCAAATGGCACGACACAAACTAAATCACAAACAAAACAAGTTAAGGCAACACAAAAACAATAATAAACAAACGGAACAGGTTAACACAACGCAATAACAATAATTTAAACACTGAAAAGTAATTCGAACCTTACTGAACGCAAAAACAACAAGATAAACAAAAATTAGAGCAAGTTAACATCCAACAGCATCGCAAAAACAAGAATTTTAGCAGCAGATAATTAAAGATTTAAAAATACTCAACAAGTGACGTATTTAAGCCCCGCCAAAATGCGCACATACACTTCTTCTTCTTCTATACTTTTTATTCTCTCTTTCGAGAGAATTGGACTTGAGCCACTTAGGCTCTTACTGCCCAGTTACTAGTTTTAACGTACAATGATTTCAGAAGAACCAAAAACCATCAATGTTGTCCAATTGGACAACGGTTGTCTAACGAACACATGGACACAAATAGGTTATGTAACCTTAAAATTTATAAATTTATATAATTTCCTCTTCTCCCTTGTTCAAGGACCAATCGAGTAATATTATCGAGAAACAGAAATATTTCTATTCCGGGAATCCAATTTTGTTCCTCCTAGGTCGAAGAGTCACCTATATTTCACACTTTTCATTGAGCGGTCTGTACCCTAGCACCAACAAAATCGAACTCCGCACATACTCTTAAGGTGTATATATCTTGCTAGCAATTGTATCTTTTCATAACAACAAACGGTCATGCGCGGTACAAACGGTCATCAATTATATTTGGACACGTCCTCAAGATCACATTGTAGTCAGATCAAAAAAATTATTATTTGTGCCTTTTGGAAACAACATTTGTTTTACTTATTTAAAGATTCTTAGTCACAATAACAGGCCCACCCTAGCCCCCCCGGGTCAGATGGCTAGTTACGCCAATGCCCTTTGTTAATTCAGCCTAATATTAAATTAAATAACATTAAAAATTTAATACTCCACTAACCTTACTTCCACATATAAGCAATTCGATTTCTTCTGGACGGAAGAGCAATTCTAGTGGAGATTCGTCCACCACCATTTGAAAACCTTTATAAAACGCAAAAAACTGTTTTTCCACTGACTTATTCAGCAAATAATTTGAATAAAGGTCAACAAAATCCTAAAACAAATTGTATTAATTTATAAATATTTTTTGATTTTTTTTATAGAGAATATCCCTTGAGTATTTTAAATAAAGAGCGGCAAAATTTTATAATTAAAAAAAAATCACAGATTTTTACAATAATTGTAAAAATCCTATGATTTTTGTCACCGTAGACAGTAACAAGTTAGGTTGCCCACGACTAGTTAAAGTTTACAGGCTTATTATTTTTGTTCTAAATAAAATTAAAATAATTTAGTAAAGTCCAAAATATGTTTGACACTTCTTTATAATTATGGATTTTTAATATAAATACTAATAATTAGTACTGATTTTCTTTATTTTTTTACTGCTACCTCAATTTAGTAGTGGATTTATTTATTTTTGCTTCAAAGCTCCTCAATTGATTGTTAAAAGAATGTAAGCCACCAATCAAATTGCTCAAAAATGTACGTGAGTATGAGTAGCAGCTAGTAGTAGTATGTATATTTATTGGGAAACCAAAAGGCTACTGACCAAGGTGAGTAGCAGCTATTTAATCACAGTTATGTTTTTACTAGAAGTTACCATAAATTTTTTTAATTTAAAAAAAAAAGGTAGTCGCTACATCATTTTTTATCAGGAAAAGGCTCTGTTCACAGTTAAAACCTGTTTAAAACAGGGAATTTCAAAATATAATAATGAATTATACCCCCATTGCACTAAAAACTAATGAGTTGAAAGGGTGTTATTTTACACAATTCGCAATTTTGTATACAACAGGGTTTCCGAAAAAAGGCGGACGGTATACGACGTTCTATTAAATACATAATTTTTTTCGACAACTAGTGTTTGGATTACAAGGGTTTGAAAATTTAATTTAATTTATTTAAATTTTTAAAATATGTAAATATATAAAAGGAATAAACACAATTTTCTAATATCCTTTAAAAAATAAAAAGTTAAAATTTGTTAATAATAAGTTGATTTCAAACATGGAGCCCACGGGAGTCCGAACTTCATATAAACAAGAATCTTCCTAAGATAAGAGGGCGCTGGTGTTCCGTTTGTTCTGAAACAATTGTACCGAAACGCTACCAAAAGAGCAGCCGTCAGTACGCATCGGCAATCAGCGCCGCTGGTGGTGAATAAAAGACTTAATTTGTGCAATTTAGAGGGCAGGTTTTGTCAATTACTCCTATTAATTCCGGGCTCGTTGTGTAGGCTCCATGATTTCAAATTTGACAAGAACTGTCAAAAAATACATCAAGTCGATGTAGATGCGTTGTATATTTTTTCCAAAACAACCGTTTTATACATGTTTCTTAAATCGGCTTATAAAATACACAGCGTTGCTGAGTTTTTTAAACTAGTTAATGAGTCGAAAAGTGCTTTTCTTATAACCTGAATTATAAAAAATTGTGTTTTTGTATGTTTAAGGTCAGTTTTACTCTTAATTATAATTATTATAATAAAAATAACCTACATAAAAAATGTAAAAAAATATCGATACGCGGTATTGTTAGTTATCAAAAGGACAATTTATTGCCATGTTTTTGCCATGTTTCAGCCATTTTTCAACTGTAATATACCTTTCAAAATAAATATCTGATACAATTTGTATATTTAAATTTGCACTAAAACAGCCTTTAAAATTATGTTTTTTAGTGCGAGGGGGATAAATATTCAAATAATGTTATTTATAAAAGATTATAATGGTTTTAAGATTTTTTTATCCATGTTTTTAACGCGCTTAAAATTTTTAATTCTAAAAAAATTTATAATTTTACTTTGGCGTTAAAAAAATACATGAGTAAAAGTTGGCCACCCTAATGTTCACATGTGGATTGGTCAGCTCTCGTTGGTCGCTCCTATTTTTTTTTATGTAAAAAATTAGGAGGGCTACAAAATGTTTATCGTAATATTTTTACGAAACATTTGTGAAAGTAAAAAAAACGACAAAAGGGCTATTTAAAGCATACAGACAGGACAAATCACAAAATGGTTTTATGCAAAAAATCTTAGGTCAATTATTATACCGTACCATCAATTTTCATGTATACAGTAGGCGTGTGTTTTTGAGTAGTGGGTGTAAGAGTGGGAGAATAATAATTCGCTTTAAAATAACGAGGACCGACAATCAGTCTCACCGTCGCGACGCGTCGCCGGCTCAGGGTGATGTTGAAGTTGGCTATTTATTTTTAAAACGCATTACACTATTATTAAGTAAATTTACTTTTAAAAATGATTCAGATACTTAAAATGTAACCTAGTCACTTTTAAGAGTAAATTTAGTCTTATGTGTAAAAACATTATTTATTTTGCAGATGTTTTCTTATAAAAATAACGTTTAAACATAAAAAAATTATCTTGAAATCAAACTTATTCTGGGAGTTTTGTGACATTTACATCCAAAAATACAACCACTTGTCGTAAACCTTTGGATAACCTTTGCTATGGTTCGAATCGACGGAATAGGACGATCCGGATATTTAACCGAGAATAAGTCCCTTGTTTGACGTAGAGAATTTCCACGTAAAGACCAGCTTATAATTTCAATTTTTTCTTGTACTAAGTATAACATAATAAATAATTTATTATTCAATAAAAAATAAAAATAGAATAATTTAAGCGTTTTAAAACAAACACTTAATAAAGCAAAACAGAAATGATATGTTTCTCGCCGGTTCAATGCTCCGCCTCCCCTCCTTAGATATTTTAAAGCAGCGCAGAGTCTTCGCTGCTGAAAAAACATTTAGGGTGGGGAGGCGCCGTTCAAGTTTGGGTTTTCTCGTGCTGTATACTTTTAAAATGAAAATACGGTATATTATTTTGGCATCAAAATTGTAAAGATAATTCTTCTTTTATTAGGCTCTACATTAAATAAATCAAGGCATAGTAAGTATTGCCAGGGGTAGGATAAGTAAATCACCAATGGTGACTCAGCCGGAGACCACAAAGGTCGATGAAAGCCCCTAACCTGTACCTAACCTGTACCTACCCAAGACCGCCAGTACGTGTCATAAGACACGGGCTCTGGCGAAGGCCAAACGCCTGCTTCGGCGCAGGGGGGCCCAAGGATCTGGGACGAAATGTAACAAATCTGAGGGAAGCACCCCTGAGTCGAATGGGGCAAGGACGCTAGCAAAGAGGCCCAAGGCTTCCGGAGTTAAATCGGGAGGACAAGAAATTACTCCGTACAGCGCCGCAACATCTGCTAGTCTCGGGGTGACCATCCTGCCGGATGCTTATCCACCAGGGACAAGGGCTGGGCTTTACTCAAAAACAAATTTATTGATGGAATCAGGTTCGCAAGGAAATAGCATTTGAGACAGTCAAGTGTGCAAAATCACATCAGGCATGTGGTGGCCGAAATCGTTGATGCAGTGCTGGAGGCATTCTTGGAAGTTCGCGTAGACTCTCTCCAACATCGCTCTCTCAAGGGCTGGACCATCCGACGTGTGTGGTTCCAGCAGGATGGGGCGACCGCCCACACAGCCAGAGCATCAATGAACGTTATTCGCCCTCTCTTCCCTGGTCGCCTTATTTCCAGGTTTGGCGATGTTCATTGGCCTCCTCGGTCCCCAGATTTATCCATATGCGATTTTTTCTTATGGGGACACCTCAAGGCTAGAGTATACGAGAAGAAGCCCCGGACTCTGGACGAATTGAAGGACGCAATTCGCGTGGAAGTCGCCCAATTTGAGAGAGCGATGTTGGAGAGAGTCTACGCGAACTTCCAAGAACGCACCAGCACTGCATCAACGATTTCGGCCACCACATGCCTGATGTGATTTTGCACACTTGACTGTCTCAAATGCTATTTCATTGCGAACCTGATTCCATCAATAAATTTGTTTTTGAGTAAAAATTAACTATTTTATGATTTTTTTTAAAACCGTCTGAAGAGCCATCCCTGTCGGATCACAGACACATTCTCTTTAGCTTAGACCTAACTCACGAGGCTGTGCTCAGTAGGTTCAGGAACCCCCGGAACACAAACTGGGACCAGTATGTTGAGATGCTAAAGACTAAGCTAGTGGACTCTTCCATGACGTGCCGCAGCTCTCGGCACCCAAACCAAACAGCCGAATTCGTACGCGATGCAATCATCACATTGTACGAACGAAGCTGCCTTGGTGGAACTTTGACCTCGACAAAGCTCGCAAGGAAACCCGCAGGATTGAGACATCCACAAGCAGTCTCAGCGCAGGTACAAAGATCTCATAAGAAGGTCTAAGAGGGAATCTTGGAGGACGTTCTGCGGTAACGTAGACGAGCTTCCAGCAGCAGCCAAACTTCAAAATATTCTCTCAAAGGATCCAGGACGAGAGCTGGGGACATTAAGGCTTCCCTCCGGTGACTATAGAACCACCGCGGAGGAGGCACTTAAATGGCTCCTGGAAACTAACTTTCTGGGCTCAAAAATTCTGCAAACTGTTGAACCACCAAGGCAGGCTCCACCAGCTGGCGTAAGGCCGACTGACTGGAAGTTAGCTGCCAAGGTAGTGACAGAAAGCTCCTTAAAGTGGGCCATCCCCTCATTTGGATCTTTTAAAAGCGCGGGACCAGATGGCATCTTTCCGGCTCTCTTACAAAAGGGACTAGAACCACTGACCCCGCACTTGATACACTTCTTCAGAGCCTGCCTGGGCTACGTGCCACAATCCTGGCGAAAGGTTCGAGTGGTGTTTATCCCCAAGCCAGGAAGTTGTAACTACGAGACGGCAAAGGACTATAGACCCATCAGTCTATCCTCCTTTCTTTTAAAAACTATGCAGAAACTGGTGGACATATTTATTAGGGACGGGGCACTAAAAAGAATTCCCATGCATCCCAATTAACACGCCTACAGGACAGCCATGTCGACGGAGACCGCTCTTCACAGCCTTGTGACAAGACTAGAGAGAGGGACTCGTCCTAAAGAGATGGCTCTGGGCACGTTTCTAGATATTGAAGGAGCTATAAAACAATATCTCCTTCGAGTCGATAAATAGAGCTGCAGAGGGCTTTGGCATAGAGAATATCATTGTCAAATG